TAATAGTTTTGCTTGCACATTCATTTTAATAATATCAATTCTTGAATTCAGATCTAAAGGCAAAGTGGTCCATCTGTCTATGAGTGATTCTATAATTGGAAATACATTTGGCACTTCAAGAAATGACAAAAAAAAAATTCATTTCTTAAAAAGTTTCTTAGGTAGTCTATTGAAAAGGCATTAAACTTTAAAAAAATCTGTAATTGCCAAACATTAGCTACATATTTTATAATTTTTTCTCAGAAAAAACGTATGTTTTGCGGTATGTTATGTCAACTCTGTTACGGACAATATAGACAGTGAGTGAAAAAAACAATAAATTCTAGCAGACTAAAATATTTTTATTCCATTACACCAAGTGTCCTACTACCCAAATACTTTAAATTGAGATGTTTTACTTAAAAATACATTTAAAAAAATCAAAAGATACTCAACTTTTCACAGAGTTATTCGCATAGGGTCAAACGTTTTTCATTAAAACTCATTGAAAACCATCATTCTTTTAGAAATAAATTTGGTCAGTAACACTAAATCACAGCAGAAGTCAACCAACAATGTATATGGTGCTCTGGACAACAGTTTTCCTTTTTTGTGTGTGAAAGTATGTCATAAACATGTCAACTCTGTTACCTAACAGAGTTGGTGTTAGTAACAGAATTGACAGGACCATAATAATTTAGAACTGAAAACTCTGTTACCATCAACTCTGTTACCCTATTTGGTAACAGAGTTGATGGTAACAGAATTGACAATTTCAAACATTTTTATTAAAAACTCCACTTGTGAGTAGAAATGCTGAAAAAACATGACACCACTGAGATAATGGTTTAAAAACCATTAAATAAACTTGTCTCTGATCAAAAATCTGTGGTATTTTTCTCATGATACTTTGGTAACAAGATTGACGTTGAAAACAATAACCACTGATGATTGTGATTTTTAGATTAAAATATTTCCCAGAGAATGGCACATAGACCACTGTGTGTTTGAGTTCTTATCAGTAAAAGTAAATTACCTAATTTTATGCAGTTTATATAGCCGCAGAAGGCAATTTCACAGATTTACAGGGACAAAACCATATGGTAACAGAGTTGACAAACAATTCTTGGACACATATTTTTTTGAAAATAAGGGTATTTTGAGTTAATTTAATGTGATGTTGTTATTAAATTGACCATTTAGGCAGTTTAAAAAAAGACAGAAAAACAAATTCACCAAAGAAAAATAATAAAACATAGGTTTTTGCATCATTTTTCAGGTTAATAAAAAAGACAGTACCCAACTCGGACAACAAGAAGTCTTGGTTTTTCAGCTATATAAAACAATTTTAAATGTATTTACTTAAATGTTTTTACTTGTTAAATATTATGATCCATTAAAATGAGTAATAAATTACTAAAACATTTAAAAATTGAAATATTTTAATATACCAGACCAAAAATAATGACTCTGGACATCAAATGTATCTGCAATTATAGAATCACTAATATATCTTTTTGTATCTCTTGGCTTATTTTATCGTAATTAGCTTTGTACAACAGAGATAACCCTTTAGTAATGTTAACCCCTAGACATTTAATTTCCTTCATATTCCATTTAATGGGAAATGACTTCTGTATTTCTTTTGTTGGGATGTAATTGAGTGTTGGAATTTGTGTTTTGGTGACATTAATTTTATATCCCGAAAGATAACCATAGTTTCCAAAAAGATTAATCAATTCTGGTAGAGATTCATTTGGCTGTTCAAGAAAAGTTACTACATCGTCTGCAAAGACCCTATTTTGTGTTCCTCTCCATTTATTTTAACTCCCTTAATTTTTTTGTCTTGTCTTACTGCTTGTGCCAGAGGCTCTATGAAGAGGCCGAACAGTGTAGGTGATAGAGAGCACCCCTGTCTGGTTGATCTTTGTATGTTGAATTTATCGGTCAGGCTTCCATTTACTTTGATTCTCGCTGTGGGGTGTTGATATAATGTCTTTATACACTGTATTGATTTATTGCTGAATCCAAATCGTTCTAACGTTTTATATAGAAATTCCCAATTTACCAAATCAAATGCTTTTTCTGCATCAACACTTACCATTATAGTACTTTGTTTTTTCTGCTGTGCTTGATCTACTATATGTAATACTCTTCTAATATTATTGTGTGTTTGACGTCCTCTCATAAAACCTGTTTGGTCTTCCTCTATCAATTCTGTTACAAAGGTATTTAATCTATTAGAAATAATGGATGTGTATATCTTATAATCTACATTTAATAATGAGATTGGCCTATAGTTGCTACAGTGTTCCTTATCTTTTCCTTGTTTTGGTATGACTGAGATGATGGCTTCACTCCATGACGGAGGTATTTTGTTGTTATTAAGAGTCCAATTGAAAGAGGCTGTAAGTATTGGTGCCAACTCTTCTCTAAAGATCTTATACCACTCCATCACTGCCTGGCGATTTATTATTTTTTAATGTATTTATTGCCTCTTTTACTTCCTCTATTGTGATTGCTGCTGTTGTCAGTGTCTCATTTTGTAGTTTGCCAATTGTTGGCAAATCTAATGCATTTAAAAAGGTTCTCATTTCTTCCTCATGTGCAAATTCAGGCTGTGTATACAGTTTCTCATAGTATTCTCGAAAAATGCCCTCTATTTCCTCTAGATTATCTGTTAGTTCACCTGTGTAGGGGTTTCTAATTTTATATATCGCATTAAGCGTTTGTTGTTTGCGTATCCGTTTAGCTAACAGTTTAGCTGCTCTTGAACCTGCTTCGTAGTAATTCTGTCTCAAAAATGTGAGTCTTTTTTCAGTCTCTCCTGTCAATATATCGTTTATTTTGTTTCGTACCATCTTTGTTTCTTGGTATACCTTTGGGTCTTTTGTTTTCTGATATTCCTGTTCTAGTTCCCTAAGTCTCTCTGTATTCGCCCTGTATGTTTGTAATTTAATTCTTTTATCATGCGCAGTTTCAGCTATGAGCTTTCCCCTGATGACAGCCTTCATTGCATCCCATAAAATTGTTGGGTCTACAGTCCCGTTATTATTTTCTTCATTATATTGTTTTATTTCTGCTTTCATCTTTTCTCTCAGGTGTTCACTATTCAATATTCCCACGTTCAGTCTCCATACCATATTTCGTTTCCTGTTACTTAGACAAATATTTAAATAAATTAGATTATGGTCAGAAACGTCTGCCACCCCCTATCCTGGTTTCCTTCACTCTGTGTTTGTCATCCACCTTAGTTAAAAAATAATCTATTCTTGAATGAACTCCATGAGCAGCCGAATAATGTGTAAAGTCTTTTTCTAATGGATGTAGGCTTCTCCAAATATCTATCATTCCCATTTCTTCTAATGAGACTTTTATAAATTTTGATATCTGCATTTTAGTTTTTTTGCGACTCATGTCCATATTATGGTTCAGAACTACATTTAAATCACCTCCACAAATTAGAGTTCCTTCTGTTTCTACTGCTATTAAATCAAAAAGGTTCTTGAAGAAGTTTTTGTTACTCTCTGGAGGTGCATATACGTTTACCAAGGTTATAAATTCATTTTCTATTCTTCCTTTCAATATTATGTATCTTCCTTCTTTATCTTTTAATTCCTTTTTGTAGTCAAATTCTATTGTGTTCGAAATTAATATTGCAACTCCTCTTCTACGCCCCTCTTTATATGAACTGTAGTATAAATTCCTGTAGCCATATTTTTTTAATTTTTCATGTTCTGTTTTGGGTAAATGGGTCTCTTGTAGGAATATAATTGGTGCTTTTTCTTTTTTCAGTTTTGTCATCCCCCTTTCTTTTTTACTCACTACATTCAAACCATTCACATTCAGCGACATTATCTTGATATCAACCATAACTATGGTTAACTAGGCCCTGCAAATATGCTCCCAAGCAACTCAAAACAAAACCAGCATGAACTTTTGCTAACCAACCATAAACCAAAATCCCGATGGACTTTCAAACATGGGGTATCTCTCTTCCCCAGGTCCCTGTTGGTGGGTGGAGAGGAAATCCTCACCTCTATTGAGGGCCCCTCCCTAGATCTAGTACTACTCCCATCCTGTGGGGTACCACTCCATCTAGACATGTCCAACTTCAGTCTCTCACCCTCACTCAGTCGGTTTTAACTAAATTTTATAAAATGAATAATAATAATAGAAAAGCCTGAATAATTTTAAGTATTCTCTCTGCTAGTTTCTTCTTCTGTCAGTCGCTTTGTCCACAACAAGGTATGGTAAAATACCAAGTTTGATAACGTGATC